CTCGTTTCCATTTCTGGAGCAGGTACAGAACCTCTTTCGTTTCAACTATTATACTTCTCTAACTCTTTCAGCCAAGTATATGGTAAAGAAGTAGGGATTTGAATGCTTTCATCCCAGGCCCTATTAAATATCGTAACGTATCGTACCAAAGTCCATGTCCAGCCCACTCTCCTTTCAACATGTTCGAAGCTCCACGGGCCATTAGAGAGTAAGGACGTTAAAATCCCCTATCAATTGATGTCATATGGGGTCCGTGGGAGATGAATATTATATCTACCCTATACCCATAAATTTTAGAATTTCCCAATTGGAAGCTTCCCGAAGCTCTTTGTTTGTCCGTTAAGGGTCTGTTGAAATTTGATATGACATCAGCAATGATTACGAAAACAACCCATAGCTTTGTAAATAACCACTAGAGTATAGGAGGATTCCTGAATGGGATTGGGAATGCACTTCTCAACTGCTCGGTGATATCGGCATCGTTGGCGTTTCATGTTTATTTAATGCCCATCTGGCACCGTTTGTCCTTCAGCTGATTGACTTGCTGTGTGGCCTGGTGTTTCCCTCAAAGGATCCATTCATTCCCTGTCAGGAAACGCTAGTTGGAACTCTTCTAATGGCTGTCATTTGTTCAATTTTGGCTGAATTAGTGGTGATAAATTAGGTTGGTTCTATACTTTATTCAGCAACTCATAACGTAGGTAATGTATTTCTTACAGTTATCTCAAATAGCTTTCATTATAGCAATTGTAGATCTTTTACAAAAAAAGTACCCGATAGCTAGTCGAGTAGTTTGTTTATGAAACAAGTAGAAGGAAATACATTAGAGAGTTGATTTCGGTTAGTATTTCATTTTTCCTCTTTCGACTGTAATTTTAATTTTCATTTAGGCTAAGGAGGCCTTGAACTGAGACCACATGAGCCCTGGCCAATATTGATCATCGATCAAGTACTATGGACTTTGGGCTTTCTATCTCATCCCTTCATTAGGTTAATCAATCTGTTCACGGGCTCCTTACAGTTCCATTCTGATGCTGCCGGCTAATGGCATAGGATAAGCTAATAGAGAATCTCGATAAAATGACTTGAGGCTAGCCAAAGGCTTTTGACTTTCAGGAAGCGGTTTTCTTTCCTTTTTCTTCAAAAACTGGATAATGTGACAACCAAGTTGCCGATATTCCGTGATCGCAGTTGTCTGAGATCGTGTGAAANAAAGGGTGAAGCGACAGTGAGACTCACTGTGTTTCTACAGAACGCTTTGGTGTGGATTAAACTTCTAGAAACAAATAACAATTAAACTAAACGAATTCGACGTGTAAAAGAAGAAAAGTCCTGTAACAATCACCAAAGACAATGTAATCGATCACTTGCATACAAGAGTTAAGTTTTCAGCCGGATGACCGATAACTACCTCTGAGACCGACTTTTCGAAGTCAGACTAGAAAGATATAGTTGAGCGCATCAGTTTGTTTAAAGTAGTCGTTCGGGTTCAAAGTGTTCACCTATCTTGGCTAAAACTTGAAGCACTATCTGTACTTATTTTTTAGGCCATAATTATGTTTAAATCTATTTCTGTGCAAATTTTCATGAGGGTTTTTGAATGAGTTTGAAAAATTGTGCTATAATTATACTGCCCTTGATAACATCATTCAATTTCCGTCTTACGAATCTAATACAGCCTTTTCTGGTTACACATAAAGTGCCTCTATTCATTTTTGCTCGAATTTCACTCAGTCGTGTTGCTTGCTTCTTAAGCGCTTTCTGAAACTAACTAAAACTCCCGGTTTTTTTTTCTCAAATGCTTGCATTTTCTCACAATTTTTTCCATGTCACCCTGGGTTATTCAGTTTTTTTTTTCGATTTTTTTCTTTGCAGTAGGACTGGGAATTCAGTTTTACTTGCACTTAGCCTAGAGAATCGGGAAAAAAATTCACGTTAATTCGATAACCTGGTCAATTCAATTGACTATGGGAAAGTAGCAGTCACAGTAATCTTTTGTGTGAAATCTACGGGCTTTTACCGTATATTTTCCCTCACTCTTTTTTTTTNNTTTTTTTTTTGCAGTCAACTTAACCAGTAATTTAGATTAGTTGCACTAGGGGAGATCATTAGCAGCTGCAAGATCGGGATCACTTTTGCAGTGAGTGAAGAAAATGGAAAGATATTTGCATAACCTTTTGATTAATTATCTATGGGAAAGTACTAGTCATAGTGGGAATCGAAAAGAACAGCTCAGATTTATGTCCTTGATCGGAAACCTCTCATTAGCGAACCCTGACTCTCTAGCATCTCATCATTTATGGCTCGCTTTTTCTCTAATTCATCTCATCCCACTAATTGAATGTGTTCAATTCCTCGGAGAGAAACGTCGGCAGCCTCATTACATGTATTTTCGTCGTTTTTGATCTTTCTTCATCTAGGAAAGGGCTTAGCAAACGGAGCTTGCCATAGTTGGGATGATTAGTCTGCAATGAGATTTCCCCCGTTTTTTTCACTGGGATACTGTAGAAGTCATTATCGTAGAGATTCTATTTCTCTTTGATTTTCTATGCTGTAGGTGAATTTGCAACGTAATTTGCACTCGAGCTCCTGGTTTAGGACTTCTTCCTGCAGCTATTTATTTGTTTATTTCTTTTTTCGTTCTGTTTACCATATTTTTTCAGTCATCCGTACTCATGACGTGACGCTGGGAATTGCATGTTTAGCCCCAAGTGCGTTCATTAGTGTTTAGAAAATGAAATAGAGCAAGGGCTAAACGATCGAATCCGAGATGGGAACCCTCCCACGCAATCCAAGCCTTTCAACGCTTCGGAATCTTTTGATTTTTACCCTTCTAGGAAGGTAAAGGCATTTCGAGATACTTTGACTGTTCCGCACAGGTAAGCTGTGCTGTCTGATCTCCCGAAGCTGGTGTATAGGCCATGTTCCCATTCATACGCTAGTATTGTTCCGGGCAGAAGCATGCGGCGGCACATCGTGAGCGAGTTTGATCAGCGCCAGGCCCGCAGCCTATTTCACTCAGCGGTTTAGAGTGCAGAATGCTGAACAACTGCCAGCTATTCACAGAGGTTTCAGTTGTTTTTTCCAACCAACACTGTCGATTTAATTAGTCAAGCCATAAACCTTCCTGGCCAGCAACACGCCAGATCAGCTTTTCATAGGCGACGAGAAATTCGTGTTGACAGGCACTCAGTCAGTCGGATAGAGCTGGCTAGCTCAGCTGGTTGTCGTGGTTATGTCTAATTCACTGCATGCTGTTTTTGATAATTGTTATTGCTTTTATTCCATCTGATACATATGTTTACCTTTTCCAAATTCTTAACCTGTAAACTGCAGTGAGGTTTCGTATCGAATAAGCAAACAACCTTGAAAATCCAATCAAGGTTTTTGTTATCTGTAAAAAGAAAGATCACCACAAATTCACAGAGACGGTACAGTAGGAAGTTGTATAAGTAGAGAATCTCATAATGAATAAATATGACCTGGCCTTAGAGAGGTCCATATTAATGCTTACCAAATTGAACTGATGGCCTTGGTCGGCTGATTNTGTTTACCTTTTCCAAATTCTTAACCTGTAAACTGCAGTGAGGTTTCGTATCGAATAAGCAAACAACCTTGAAAATCCAATCAAGTTTTTTGTTATATGTAAAAAGTAAAATCACCACAAATTCACAGAGACGGTACAGTAGGAAGTTGTATAAGTAGAGAATCTCATAATGAATAAATATGACCTGGCCTTAGAGAGGTCCATATTAATGCCTATCAAATTGAACTGATGGCCTTGGTCGGCTGATTGGGTTGAGAGAATAAATGAATATATTTAAATGGCTTCTCACAGGTTGCTGTATAAAAAACATCGCTACCTCGATGATTTTTTTATTTTCAAAGATATAGCTCAATTAATTAATAATTTAATAATTCTTTTCGGAATATTTGTTCGTGATAGAACTTTATGGAAAATAGATAATCACTCAATTTTTTTATTCATTAATAAATCCAAAGCTGACTAGAAATATAGATACCTGAACGTTTTTAATCGAAAGCCAACTTCATGGCGTATCTTTGGAGATGGTTGAGTGCTTGGCTGGCGCACAACATTAACCAAATGGGACCAGAACTTTGGAGGGGAAACTTTTCTGAAAATTTTTCCTAGAGTTTCTGCTTTTTTACGAAGTCCTGAGACTTCTGGAAATCTAATTGGTTTCATCATCGACGGATTTTTTGCTGTCGTTCCATCGACATGTCCTTCACTGTCTTTCTGAGGCCAGCTCGGAGTTTCACATGTTTCCCCAGCAAGTCCTGCAACGTGCAGACTTGAGTTGAGCTGTGCATTTTTTTCTCCGATCATAAATATGAATTTATGGCATGTAACCGTTCAGGGTGTCTCTTGGTTTGAGCGTGCATAATCAAACTTGGAGCTGCAAACACTTTACCATGATCTCCTTGGCCGTTACTCTTCTTTCGCTACCGTATGTATCATGCGAGCAATTTATTCCTTTTTCCTATGATAATCTTTATCCTTCTTATGTTAGCTTTAACGGGATTACCCTAAGCAAACTACTTAATCTGGTGAAGTCGATCATTCCGACCACATCGACTGCTACAGTTACCCGGGTACTCCAATCGAACGGTTAGGATGAACGTTCATGGGCTGCGCCAAACTCAATTCTCTCCACTACGACCAGAGGATATTTAGGTAGTACCTCAGCGGCACTAGTCACCTACTCTCGACGTTCGGCAACGGCGAGGAAATCTCCACATTCAAACACCAGGCGATGGTAATGCTGCGGGCACTGCGGCCGCAAACGTGCCTCTTTTCAACAGCAGGCTGCCTCATTCCGAACGATCTATTGAAAGCTCCTTTGAAATGCCGCCAATCATAACAAAAGGCATAAAATTCGAGGCAACAAAAAAGATAATTTTTAGTCTAGTGGTTCAGAAAGTTTTTGAATCCGTCCCTCTCTGTTATGGTTCCAGCAGCTGTCACGCGGACCGTTGTCATGAAGTTAAGGATTGGTGAGAACGATCTCATGAAATGGGATTGTTCTCACCAACCTCCACAAAGAGCCCAGTGTGGATGTTCTGTTCCTTCAGTTGCGGCTGGCTCTCTAGGCATTTATGCTTTTTATCCTTACGGTGCTGACTCATATCAGTTCTCGTCGTTCTCCTGCTCGTCCGAGGACATCATCAATCAACAGTTCTTCCTAATCATTTTCGATATCGCAGATCCTCGAAGCTCGATCTGTGGTGCTGTTACTTCTCACATAGGAGAGTCTTCTTAGTGAAAATCTCTCTCTCTGGACTATATGACTTTTGCCTTTTGCTCGAAGGAATGTGGTGTAGAAAGTAGGGAAGGGAGGGGAGATTGGGGGAATAAAAGGGCAAAGTGCAACAGAGACCGAAATGGGGAAGAAAAAATGCAAAGCTGGTAAGTGCTGTTCAGAATAATCGTTACGATTACTTCAGAGAAGTACGGAACCTAAAAACGCTCTTCAGATTTCTCACCTCTAATTACCACTGTGGTAAAGCAGAAGGGCATTCCTACAGCATCGCTCTCGTAAATCTTTTTTGGCCAAAGGTGGTGGGAAGGAAAGCGCTCAGTCGGAATGCTCTCCAGTTAAGAAGGTTTCTAACAACTAAGCATTTCAGGTTATTTCTGCAAACTTTCTTCCTTTTCCCACTTACTTTCTTGGTATCTGCTAATTGATCGAAACTTTTATTTCTCATTTCTCGTTAACGTGAAGGTTTGTTTATAAATTTTGCAGACCGCAAATGTGGAACTGAAATATACCTCTTTAGAGGTTTTTGAACTTTTTTCAGGTTGAGGATGTCCTATATTATTCAGGATTATTTAGTAGATTATTTTTTTCGAGGATAACTGTTACTTTTCACCCGGACAGTGCCTCAGTCAGCAAATGCACTGGTGTAGTGGGTATTTTTACGTTTCAATAATCCTGAATGAAAGTGAAATGCATGGCCTACGCCGGAATATTCGTGGAACCCCAAGCTCAACTCTGACTCTTGTCTGGTGGAATGTTGCTATTCCTGTGACTAAAGGAAGATTCCCCTACCGGCAGCAGGCATTCTTGGAGATGGCCGAACATCCAATTCAAATAAATCGGACTTTATTCAGAACTGAGAGCGGGTGTTTTCGAAATATCTTGGATTTCTTCCATCGGAAACCATAATAAAACGAAATGCGACATAATCTGGATGATTGTGGGCAATAGTCGGCCTGATTCAGTACTTTCTTTCAGAAGAAAATATAAAGTGGCTGTTTAACGGGCTAAAGCCAGGTGCAGATTTACAAAGTCAGGATTTTTAAAGAATTTTTTCTGAACTCAATCGGCTAATTAATAATGGAGTTGGTTTACCCACCTTCCCTCCTTCTCTCTCCCACCGGAACGGGGTAACATACTATGAAGAGAGCAATGTCTGCAATGACGGTCATATTTTGGTTTCTTTTTTCGGCACCCTCTCTCAAGGTAGCTTCATAGGAGGCAGAGTTGGTGAAGGGAATGGAAACTCCTTCGAGAAAATGTAAATCGACAATAAGTTACTCTGGTCGTGTATTCGGAAGATTCCAAATTGAGACTGAAGGAAGTGGCGTGGTAAAAATGTTTCGACTCGTTAGAATAACTCCCTGGACCACTTGAGAAAACTAAAAGTTCTGGAAAACTTCCTCAAATCTCCTACCACGAACTACCACGGAAGGAAGCTATTGAGTGGCAGTTCCCAAACGTACAACTGCTGCGATCGAGGAGATTGTTTTGTGGGAACGAGATCTTCATGACCGTCGATTTTGTCCAACATTCGAACGTGCGTGTTAAATGCATTTCTCTAATTACAACTTTTAAGTCTATAATCACCCACCCAGCCATTTCCCCCTAACCGCTCATTGACGGCCCTTTTAAAGATAGCGCTTGGAGATAGCGCTTTCGAGAAAAGTGGGTCAGAAAACAAGTAGATGGGAAAGGTCGGGCAAATGAGCGATTCCTATATAGGGGTAAGTTTGACTTTCGACTGATTAATATTCGTCGTAAAATTAGGTGACAAATTGAGAAAGGTAAGGATATAGTATTTTAAATAAAAAATCCCTGATTTAATTCATTTGAATGACCCTTTTTTTAGTTTGAGTGATCTTTTGTGGCTTTTTCCAGGTCAGAAAATTTCAAGTCGTGAAATTTGTTAATATATTTGATGCCATATAGTAGATTCATGATCTCCATTGGTATATCGACTGATTTGGTGCTAGCCAGGCCAAATACCCGTCATAGCCCCCTTCTTAAACGAATCTGTAGCGGAATCGGAAGAAATTTTGTAGCGTTGAATAGTCTTTTTTGAATTCAAATAAATTGATAAATTGAATTTGAATTTTAATTAATCTTTAACTTTAATCTTATTTTCAAATTGGCTATGCCATTGTAACAACGGCTAGTCTCCGGATTCTGGCAAATTTTGTTGAGGATTGGTATGGACCCTAAAAGAAGACTTTAGCAGTTTGGATGGTTGAGCTTTCTTGGAGATCTAGGGGATTTCTTTGGATTTCACTCCACTGCATTTCAGTGGAAAGCTTACGTGGAAGTTGGTAAGCTGTAGCTTATGAGTATGGTTCGAAAAGAAAGTTTCCACGCACCTGGCAGGAAAAGCTGATATATAAAAAGTGCGATGCTATCGTTTTTTTTTTCTGCTGCCAGAAAGTGTAGGGGCCACTACAATTTTTCTTTGGCAAAAAATAGAACATCTAGAACCCAAAGATAAGTGGCCTATTCTTTGCGCGTTCTTCTCTTCTATTCATGTTTNAGTTGGTAAGCTGTAGCTTATGAGTATGGTTCGAAAAGAAAGTTTCCACGCACCTGGCAGGAAAAGCTGATATATAAAAAGTGCGATGCTATCGTTTTTTTTTTCTGCTGCCAGAAAGTGTAGGGGCCACTACAATTTTTCTTTGGCAAAAAATAGAACATCTAGAATCCAAAGATAAGTGGCCTATTCTTTGCGCGTTCTTCTCTTCTATTCATGTTTTCCTTCTCTTTCGAGTGGTGGTCACCCCATCCGTGAAATTTTGCTTTGGTGGTTTTTCCGCGCGTTAATTTGCTGACCTAATGACACCAGGCCAACATTGCTTTTCGCATTTAACCGCTTTTCCTGGAACTTCCAAAGTTTTTCTTACAGAGAAAATATCTATTCCAATATGACGGCTCCAATTTAGTTTCAAACAAATTCGTTTGGTGCCTATTTACTTCATAGTTTTTTTTGGAATGAAAGCGCACAGGACTATTATTATGTTGTATTTACAGCCATATTTACATCCTATTTATTATAGGTGTTAATCTTCATTATATTACAAACCGAAAAAAAACTTTTGGAAAGCTACATGGAATCAGAGCTTTTTTTAGTTCGAGGATTTTTTTGGAAACTGTCCTCTTCACGTATAAATTACTGAAGCCACTCATCCGTATTTGAAGTGGTCTCGCGGTAATTCCCTGGAATCCCCTCAAAGGTTCTTGAGAAGATCCTCTGTGAAAGTAAACAATTTAACATAGCCGGCTAGCTGTCTGGCTTGCTTTTTACTCAGTTTAACAAAGGTGTGGTAATGAATCAAAAATCAAATCAGTCGCTGGAAAAAGGGCTTTATGGTTGGGTACTTGTTCATGTCGACGACAACAGCCCTATGTATGTAGAAAGAACAGATTCACTTTTGTTATTAACTTTAGTCGAAGGCATGTCTGCGTGGGCTAAACAGAGTTTCAATAGGAATTCGACGAAGGGAACTTTCCCAGCACGTAGTTTCAACTCATTCCCGCTCATCCACTCATGAAAATTTTCCCATCCTTTTTCGAAGCTATCTTGAGATCAACCTGAGGACTTAAACTCTAAACAATACCACTTAAGTGAATGTTACGCCTTCGATCTGTTTTTGACTTTACCAATCAGACGTGGACTTTTGGGTGAGCTGATCACTCTGGTCGCTTGGGTTGACTAACCGCTCCTCACAGATTACAGGGTGGGCCAAAATTATGATTGCAGCGCGCGCTGACGTTCATTGCAAATTTTTTCTGAGTTCATAACAATTCATTGAATTTCTTCCATTTCACAGAGTAGCTTACGTTATTACCTTTCTAATGATACTAAGCTTTTGGTAGATTTTAAACATAATATAAGCGTAACTAGTCCGTGAATGAAACGTCGCTTTGCATTTACAAACACTTTTGGCACGGTGCATCTACAGACAAACTAGCGAAACGAGGCAGGTATTGCATTCAACCATAAGACGCTCTCGAGAGTTGGGAACAATTGCAGATAGGAGTGGTGAACCTTGGAGAGCTGTGGTTATATATAGTGGGAGTTTTAATGAAGCAGGGCGAGGGTCTGCGTAGCAGCGAAGTTCATTCTGAGCCCAAAACGACTAAATGAATGGATATTTCATGAAGTTTTCTGCGCGAAATCGTGAAGCATCATATGCACGACAAGACCTTTATACGNTAGTTTACTGGTGGGTGGCATTAAGTACCTTTTGACCAAAGCTTACCTATTGGGAACGTAACTGCACTTCTCTAGGGATAGAATCTATAGTTGAGTTGTAGCGATCGTTTTCCCACTTTTACATCGATTTTTCTTTGAATGAGCACGTAACCCCAATCGATACAATACTGGGCCCAGCTGGTTGATCGATTGGTAGTTTGTCCCCAGACGGTTGACGAATTTCAACTTCAAATTTATCGTTTCAAAATACTATTTTTTGATTTTGGCAAAATAGGCATTTAAAACATTTCCCGCTATGGGGACCTTTATTATGGAATAGCCTATTGTTAATTGCTGCTTGTGCTCTGTCAACAATACTAGCGATATCAATAGTTGAGTCTTGTTCTGTTTGGTACAAATCAATATATCGATTTTTATATGGACACCCACTTAATGTCTACCTTTTATATGGAATTGCGAAGCTTGGTGTTATTTACGTTTACATATTGAAAATGGTTGCATTAGTTTTGATATAATTGGAGTTTCTATTCCGTCGACGGCTGTTGATTGGGCATTCAGCGACTTTTTTTTCTTCCACACCTTTGCATTTAAATGAGGATGCTCTTTCTTGACTCGTTTATCAATGGGCTCCGAAACGCTCACTGCCGTTAGGCAGACGTGAGCTATTGAAAAACACAAACGGGGCACTTCCAGACCTGAAACGCCCCTATTTCAGTGTAAGGTTCAACCACATCTATTTTTTAGTTGGTTCGTGGCAGTTTCAGTACCTGCATATGATTTCTTAAGTCCACTGAGAGCT